CTCGCACACAGCAAGTGATTAAGAAATGTTTACTGAATTAAACTGACTTGCGACCAGAGGTGGAGATGACAATAAGTTCTCTGCAAGTTAAACCTACAGCAGCACATTCATTAACACAGCAATTTTGTGAACCTAGTAGTTTTTTATTTATTGACAAATAGATTTGGTAGAAGAGAAAAGGGTGCATTAGCTTGAGTGAAGGTCAAAAGGGAAAAAACATTCTGGGCCACGAGCAATTGTTCCAGTAGTGTCTATGCTTTCCTTTGTTGGCTGCTGTCTGTCAGCACCAGAAGCTTCTTGCCTGTTTCCATGGTTTTCTTTTGCAAGGAAAATATCTAATCTCACCTGGTCTGACCACAGGCTGCTCTTCTGGGTTATAGTTGTGTCAGTGTCCCTAGAAAGGCTTTCTTGTTAAATTTGCCTTGTACAGTTCCTAAGTGAAGACTCAAATAGACAAAATTGCTTACCCCTTCCAAAGTGGGCAGACCACTCCATCCCATCGCCCAGGCAGGGATGACTGGCTTTTCCCGATGAACGTCTTTATAGGAAAGCTGTGGAAAAGGTCAGAGATGGCTGCTCCAGCCCAGCCCTGGCTCCTTTCCTTTACTCCCTGCATCGGATTATCCTCCCTCCTTCAAAGTCCCACAGTCCTTGGTACTTACCTTATGGTGCCCTGATCTATACAGTCTTATGTACTTGTAATTTCCCCCACCGCATTCTCTTCAATGCCTTTGTACAAGGTTAGGCATGAAAACCAGTGTGCTCTTCCTCTATCTAAGACTGGCAGCAATAACATTGTGATGAAGAGGAAGTGCTTTGGAATTAGGCAGATATGAGTTCAAATCCCAGCTCATGACTTAAAAGCTGTGTGACCTTGAGTAAATTCCTCAACTTAAGCCTTAGTTCCTTCATCTATAAATTGGAGATTTCTGCATCAGAGGGTAATATTGAGATTAAACAAGGTCAAGTATGTAAAGTGCTGAGCGTGGTGCGTAGAACGGAGTACACACTCCATAAATAGGAGGTACGTGATGATGGGCAAAGATGACTATGTAGGTCGGATTTAGATTAGGCCCTCCAGCTCAGATGTTATAGGACACTGGCTACCGTGTTGGCAAGTCCCAGTGTCATTTTGCCTAAGTAATAACTCGGTCCTGGTGTGTGCTGTCAGAAGTGCAGTGCAGCCACATTTATTCACAATAAGACTGCGGAGTAGGGGTAAAAGGAAGGGGACCCTGAAGCAAAGTATCTTGTGATGGACCATCTAAACTCCAACAAGGCAAAAAACAAACATTCCATTGCATTACTTCTAAAGGCACTATTCAAATCAGTAGGACATTAACTTGTACTTGTTAATATTATCACAAAAGGACAACTAATTTGCATTTTAATAATGCAAATGACTTTGTATCAACTATAGGAGAAAAATCCACAGTCAAAAATTCAGAGGCTGTTAGGAAAAGCAATTAAGCAAGAAGTTCTAATAAAAACTGTAAAACTCTGCTGAAAGACATAAAAGACCTACATAAATGCATATACCATCTCCTAGGTATTAAGATGTCAAATTCTCCCCACATTACAATATTAACATATTTTATTTGTGCAAATTTAATCAAAATCCCAATGGCATTAAAAAAATCAAACCTGAGAAAATAGATACTAAAGTTCACCTTGAAGATTAAGGGTTCTAGAATAGCTATTCCACACAAGAACATACACAACAAGAAGATAGGGCAGCTTCTCTACCAGGTACAAAGATAAAGCACAGGGCTACAGCAATAAAATCATGTGGCATTCGTGCAGGGAGAGTTAACACTTACAAAGCATCATTATGCTACCCAAGTGCTTGAAAGTAGATTCTCTCCCTTAATACAACCACCCATGTATACTATCCCCATTTTTCAGACAATGAGTCTGAGGCCTAGAAAAAGTTACGTAACTTGCCCAAGATCACACCGGCTCAAAGCAGGGGTCTGAATCTAGCTGACTCCCAAGAGTTTAACATATCTAACAGGAAAAATATTTATCTTCATTATCTAAAGACCTTCTACAAATCTTAAAGAAAAAAACCCAAATAACCTGGCATAAAAATAGCCAAAGGATATTAACATGCAATTCCCGCTGATAAGCAAATAGCTAAGATATATACAGAAGTTCAGCCCCACAAGTACTTATTATTAATATTCAGGGTTACAAGAGAATGCAAGGAAATGGGTATCCACATACTGCTAGTCAGAGTGTATATACAGTATTTTTGGAAGGCAATCTGACAGTAAAACATACAATTTATATACCTTTTTAGCAATTCCTCTTCTAGAATCAATCACAAAGAAACATTAAATATAAGCCCAAAAGGTCATGTACAAGAATACTCACTGTAGCTTTGTCTGTAAAACTGAAATATTGGAAAGGACTGCCCTTCAGTAGGGAACATTTGAACAAATCATGGTCCATCCATTTTATGGGACAGTATGTACAAAGTAAATCTATATAGACTGACACAGAAAGATGTCAATGACATACCATCAGAGGAAAAACAGCAAGTCACAGAATATGCAGAGTTTTAACTCATTTGTTAGAAGAGAAGGAAAGAGAATGATAAAATGTGAGAAAAGGAGAAGGAGAGAAAAATAAGAGAGAACGAACATCCTATACACGTTGGTAAAGACATTTTTTTAAAAGCATCTGCAAGGATGCATACTGAACTATGAAGAGGGAACCTCTGGGGAAGGGAGTGGGGCTGGGGCTTTAGGAGTTGAAGGGGACTTTCACGTTTTACTAAAATATTCTTCTATATAAGGGAAATTTACTAAAAATGTTTAGTGTTTTTAATTTTGAAGAGATAAAAGCAAATGACAAAGAACTTAATATTTTGCGGTCAGTCTTTGGTTTAAGAAAAAAAACAGATGTATAAACCAGTGAAGGGAAAACACTAAAAACCAACCAAAGAGAACAAAAAAGCAGTAATCAGCGAAGTTACATATTAAGAACAACTACTGACACCTACAAAGATTCAAATCAACCGACACAATAAATTTTATTGTTTACATAACAATAGGCGGTGGACAAAGTGAAGATGATGGAGACAAGGACAGCACATTTTAACTCCTATCACAGATTATTGTTACAGAATTTCCAGTGGTTCAACATATTAAAATGTAAAATATACAAAGAAAAAAAAATATAAATATTCAGATTTCTGCAGCCCAATGCATGTCCTTTAAAAAAAAAGTTTAAATTGTATACTTATTTCTGACATTAATTCAACACATAGAATTACACCTTTCCTAACCTATTCCACAATCTGGATTTGGGAATTACAGTATTACAGAAGTATGCAAAAATAAAAACAAATTCAGTGTTCAGAAACAAACGATTTTCCTTATTTTAATGCATTAAGGCGCACAAATTTCAATTAAAAAAAGCCAATCACTGCTATATGCAGATAAATAATACAGATTTGACAATAGTTTTATAATTAAACTCAACTAACATTATACTAAAAATATATATGTGCTTATATATATATGCAATCCTATTTTAGAAAAAAAGATGCCTTGGTGAAAATTATTCTGAAAATATTCACTTGATGCACATTATGTACAAAACCTTCTTATAGAAAACTATTTTCAATGAAATTCCATGTTCACATTCCATCTGAAAACTGTACTTGAAAGATAAATAGGTCTACTTAATGGTTTCTTGGAAATCACAGCTAAGGCAGTTCTCTTTCAAAGGGCTCTTGTTTTTCCACACTCCGCTTCACTCACAAGTACTAATACAGACATTATGACATGGATGCAACCTGACATGCTGATGGGTTATTATTATCTGGAGCTCTGTCACCATCCAAACAAGGGAACGACTATAGTTGCTACAAAGAATATTTTTTTCTTAAAATATATTGTTTCTCTATTCCATATGAAGCACTTACTTAAGACATTAAGAGGCTGATAAGCCACTCCATTTGGTGTCAGTATCAATAGCCCTCAAAGAAAGAACTCTGTATTGGAATAGCTAGAAAAGTTTCCACTAAATAGTGCATCCTTCACCTGCATAGAATCGATTTGGCTTAATAACTCTGTGCCCCAGAACACCAGTCTGGAGTTCAAATATGCTCCTGAAGGTCCATCTCAGAAAGGAAAAAACACCTTATATATGGAATATGGGGATATATGAGATAATGAAAGTTAAAATCTGTTTGACAAGTCTCATAGCATTCCTCATTTGGAGTAGCTGCTAAAGGCCCAAGTGGAAACAAAAATGGAAAATTCCACGTTCACATTCCATCTGAAAACTGTACATGAAAGATAAATAGGTCTACCTAATGCTAGACTCAGTGAAGTTGAGTCGACCAAATATTCATGCCAGAAACTACTTCGACAAGTCTTTAAGCCAACAACGGCAATGAACTGGTACTCCTAGCTCATCATTCTATAAGCACTGAGGATTTGAAGCTTAAAGGGTGAGAAACTGGATACCCTTAGAAAAGGGGAACAGTCTGAGGCAAGAGTTGTAGGTCTGTAAATATATATTTTATATGCATACACAATTGTGTATTATTCTGTATATATTTACATACATATTCACAAGATGCCCTGCAGTGTAGTTCAAAAGGCCTTTATCAGGGAACGAACTGATTCTAGTAGAGACCCTAGAGTTCATACCATCTGTATATGAAGCAAATGTGCATATATTCACACAGTGTAAACCTTATCGAGAAACACTGCTATTAACACTAAGTTAAATAGTAGGTTTTACTAGTCAATCAATGATATAATCAGAACAGTTTTTTACAAATCAAAATAATGAAAAATACACAACTGGGTTTTAAATTCACAAGAAAAAAGCTGTTCAGCCTGGCCAGTATGAACAAAGTTGAAATTCCAGAGTAGGGAAAAATATCAAAACTTTATAAATGTCCTGGGATGCAATTTAATTACTTCATCAATTTTAGAAAAATAGACTCAGAATGAACGGTGCTGCTATGGATTCTCTTAACACATCAACCCAGGTGTTTATCTTTTTCCTCTTTTGTTTCCAGCTGGTGGCTTCTTCAACTGAAGGAGTTGTCCTCCTGTTCCAAAACCTGCAGAGGCAGGATTGGACACCCCAAATGTCAAACCAGCTGACGCCGTGATGCCAGGATTGCTGAAGTTAAACCCAGATGTACTTGAGCTGCCAAAGCCTTATGTTTAGGGAAGAAAATACTTATATCAGAAGTTAAATCACAAAAACAAATATTAAAAAAAAAAAAAAATAGGGACGAGAGGTAAATTTCTATCTGAAAGAATACATAATCCATAAGAATAGTAACTATCTCAGGTTGCTAAATCTCTAGTGTAAATTTTTATACGAAAATAATTTAGCTAACAATGCTAAGTGGCACCCTGAAATAAAGAAGTTTAGTGATGTAGATCAAAAGAGAAATTTTAGCACAAAAATAACTGAAGTCTACAGAAAACGTGAAGTTGCCAGAAACCTTGTTAATTAAATAAATCAAGGTACCTTCTTCCTCAGCCCCACTGTAAACATTTTATCAAATGTAGAAGAGACAGACTGTCAACTTTGGAACTCCTGACAATTCTAAGTCCTCAAGAAAGCCTCAAATCCACAATTTTCAGGACAACAAACACACAAAGAGCACTACTTACTGTTTTGATTTTATAAGGGCGCTCATATAATTAAGATAAAATACTATTACTGCTTAGTTAACTAACAGCATCTTTATCTATCTAGATTATAATCCTGGTACCACTGAATTTTACTATTATTTTACTCAGCTGGAACTGCTGATTTTAACCACAACTTAATATTAGGTGGGATTTCTTTCAAATTCCCTAAATTTAAGCAAAATTTTATCAGTATTGTGTCATTATATTAGATGTACTATTTATCCCTAAATACTACATTAAAACAAGCCATTATTTACAAATATATAGTAAATGCAAAAGTAGATGTAATTTGGAATTTTCCTTTAAAAGAAAGATTACACCTATTTCAAAAATGAACATGGAACCCATTAATCACCATTAAGACTGTGATATTTTTAAAACCAGAGGCATTTATAACTAAAGATCATTTCTTGGGAATACAAATCATTCTCTTAAATAAACACAGATAAAAACTGGGTTATACTTTCACAATGATGGTTTTCATTTTTGCAATGACAGGAAAACTGTTTAACCATGAAGCTAGTCACTTGGGTTCAAATGAATCTTTACTTGGTTAAGAGAGGATGTAATTATGAAGTCAAACTAAGAAGTCTTGTTAAAAATATTTTACAAACCTAACCTTTATTTACGAGAGAGATAAAGCTATATAATTAGCTAGGCTTGCATGCTTTATCCAGGGAGTAGAAACAGAATCAGTGACTTTTTTTGGGAGACTGGAAATAACAATAGTTGTACGTTTAAATAATTTGCACTTTTAAATGTGCCTGAAATTCAGGCAGAAACACAAACCTGCACTAAGACTTCCTGAGGGTTTATTTGTTGTTCCAAATCCAAATGTGGAGGCCCCTGTGGTGCTGCTTCCAAAACCAGAGCTAGTTCCAAATCCTAGTGGAAGGGCAATAGAGAAATATACAACGGTATGTAAAACACAGGTTAAAGGATACTGACAAGTAAAACCTACAATTATCAAAGGCCTAAGAAATACAGACTTGAAAAACATGACGTTATTAAGGAAATCTGCTGTTTACTCCCCTGCATAAGACTTTTAGAAGATACAGATTCTGAAATAATACTTTTATATCTATTTAGGCTAAGTTAATGACCCATCAGTAATTTTAAAGAACAAGGTCATGCAAAAACAAGATTATATTAGTATTTTCTCTCCCAAATGGGCTGGAAATTTTAGTGAACACCGAAGTATGATTTCAGCCAAACAGGTATAAACACATCTACTCAGGGTTATTTCATTTTGGAAAAAAAAAAAAAAAAGATGGATTAAATTCCCATATAAGCACGACATGCACAATTTAAACACTGAATACTGCGAGGTAATTTTACTCTGCTCTTTGCTGAAACAGTTTCACTTAATTAACAAAAACCATCAAAAAACTACACAATGGTCAATCGCTTTAAATCTACTCAATAACAGTTCCTGCTGTACGACCAGCCAATGCAACAGTAAGAAACGGGGGTGGGGATGTCCCGATTGTCCTCTTAGCAATACTATTTTCACAATTTTAAAACAGAAATATTTTCACCAAAGTTCATGAGGAGCTTCTACTAAGTACTTGAATACTTGTTTCTACTCTCTTAAAAGCCAGGTGCTCCATGAATAGAGTTAAATTACTTTTTAGGCTACTCTGCAACAGTTTATCTAAAATACCGAGTTTAAGAGTATTGCCTGTAAATCTAAGAAATATGATGGCAAACTGGATTATAGATCATACAAATTATGCTGTCCACCATGATTCTAGCAATTCCTAACAGGGTCTACTCCTTTAAGCAGTCACGATAGCTTATCGGCTTTCCTTCTTACGAAGATATATTTTAGTGGAAATAACGGAATCTTACTCATTACATTAAAATGTATTTGTCAAAATATAATCAACTGTCAATTATCCATATCAAAGAATTTTGAATGTATTTGGACCTCGTATGCTTCTGCAGAGGACTTACCTTACTAATGTACAGTTAACTGATGTAACTATTAAAATAAGCTAATTCCTTATGTATACAAGTATGCATATAGGCAAATATGCCAAAAGTACTTAGGAATAGGTGGAAGTCAAGCTGTTCGATTTGTAATAAAATTATTTCCCCAGTTAAAGCACTCACATTCAGAAAAAGACGATTATGATTAGGCGCATGTATATTGAGAAATAGTTCAGACCCTAGTGTTAAAAGATGACTAATATTTTTAAATTTAATTAAAATTAAATTCATTAAAAATAAGTAATTCTCAAGTTCACATTTTAGCATATTGCTTTAAAAATACAAATCTCCCTACCACTTAATTTTAATAATTTTTTATATTTATTATTCATAGAAGATGAAATGATTCTTTAAGCTCTAAATCTAATACTAGAAGGCATTAAGTTTGGAGAATCGTTTTTGCCAGATGGAAACTTAACTTCCAAAATAGCAGCAGATCCTCTTAGAAGTTTGTTTTACATGCTAGCATGAATGCACACGTTTAACAGTCCAATGAAATATTAGAAAAGTTAAAGTGTACCTCCAAGGTTTGAAGAACCTAAGCCACTTGATTGCAAGCCAGTGCCAATACCTGAGCCGAAAGGCGTTCCAAAACTAACTCCCAGAGATGGCTGTGGCCCTGGTATAAAAAAAAAAAAAAAAAAAAATGGGAGGGGGGGAAAAAAAACAAATTTGCCTTACTCTTTCAAGATTAAAGTTTCTTTATGAAATTATTTTTAAAATGAACATTATTACTTTTAACAAATTCCATTTAGTTTTCAGGATGTCTTCCCAGCCTAACTTATCTGTCCCAAAAGATTAACCTATCAAAAAAAGAAAAAAAGTCAACCAATTTTTAAACTAACCTGTTCTGTGCTAAACAAATGAAACAGTCTTATGACGTTGAAAGATGACTATTAGTTAAATATACTATAATTTGAAAACTTTAATGTATTATAAATTATGGTTGTTTTAGATTTACTTCCAGAACTACTTTAGCTCTCCCCACTTGTTTTCTGGTAAAAACTAGTTGGTGTAATCAGTAAAGGTTTTTACTTTTTTAAAAACAAGCTCCTTATCATCAGAGTCAAGTCTCAAGTGATCAAGAGACCGATACTAACATGGCAAAACTATCATGTTACTTTATAACAGTGAGTACCAAAAAAACTAGGCATGATTTCTCATATGAAATATAAATGATACATACAATAAATAGATAAAAAACAAGACAATGTTTTATTTTATTAAATTTATTGTTCATTTTAAAGCAAATCAATTACACAGTAACATGACAATTCCAACTTGTTCACAAAAAGTGATAACTGAGTTCTCATTAGCTCTGCTACATGACACCACTTTTCACCTGATTAAATAAGATGGATGAATGAACATTCAAAAGGCACCGAGGTGCACCTTGACAAAATTTAATACATTCAAGATTTCAATTCAGAAGTTTCTTTCCAACATTTTGGAAAATGTACTCGGACGCAGAACGATTAGTTATCCTTTTCCCATTTGTTACTTTAAAGATTTTGGCTGAGTTTGTTTGGCAAGAATAACATCAAACTTACTAGCCTCTTTTTGTAACTACTTTTTTTTTTTTTTTAACTAAGCAGAATACAAAAATCTAAAAATCTCTGCTTTGATAAATAATTTATGAAAGTTATTCAATAAATTTCATAGTACAATCTTCAGTCTTATCTTTTTCAAGCACAGTGATCAGTGCATTCAAAGTTGAGGGGACTGCCAAACTAATATGAAGAGATTAAAATTTAAACTTATCAAAGAAATCAAAGCCTTCCAGTTAATGAAGAATGAGGTTTGTCCATTCAGAAGGTAATGTAAAACTATAAAGCATTAAAAAACAAAACAAAACTGAGGAACTACGTTTTGCTACACTGGGACAGAAACTGGACTTTACAAATAGCTTCTACCCAGAAAATAAGGAGTAATTAATAGCAGCCATAGTTCTTATACAACTATTAAAAAAATAAATTAAAAAAGGATTTACATTTTTTATATCCAGTTTGAGACTAGTTTGAGAATAAAATATCTGCCTAGCAGCTCTTTTGTAAAATGTTACTATAGGAAAAAGAAACTAAGCATATTACTTTCTCATTTCTAACAAAAATAATATGTAGAAAACACATGTCCAGTTTCTTTAACATTGAGAGACTTTAGTGTCACGTGTTAACAGGAGGCACTGCTGGTGGAAGACCCTAGAGAATAATGCACACCACAGCCCTCAGCCCTCCGAGTCAGGACAGTCACTCAAATCGCGTGCTTTCTGTTGTGTGAGAGTCTGTTTTGAAGAGCACTAGAACACAGTTTCTCTAATCGTCAATATTCAGGGAATAGAAAATCGAGAACTTATACGTAATAGTGACAAGACTTTCCATTGCACAACAGGTACATAGTATGTTGTTGGGTTTTGTACCTTCACACAAATTCTGAAGGCAACATTATTTATAAAACTAGTAGGCAAATGTATAACATTTTTTAATAGTAAAAACTCATGATAAATATCTCCCATGCCAAAGTATTCACATATATTACACTCTGGCCACCATATAAATTAGTTTCACTATAAGAAAGCAGAATCTAAATCCTTCAGGCAATAATTACGTAAACAATTCAGTAAGTCTGCTTCAAAATCTGAATATTCAGTGAGAGACTCTTAGTTCCATAAATAAAACCAAGTTAGTAGTAATATGCCCCAATGACTGCCCAAAGTGAAATCTTTATGTAGAGCAACATTTTACAAAAGTTACCACATAATATATTCAAACACAACAAAATCAGGTTTAGCACTATTAATTCATATTTTCCAGATTAAATTCTACTTTCTTAAAAGTAAAACTGCATTCACAGGAAAAGACTAAAGTGCTAAAAATTCTTTAAAATTTTCCATGATCACTCGAAATGTCTAATGTAATTAGTATAGTTATTCCTAAGTCATATTTTGAAACAATAATTTTTCTTAAAAAACAAAAAATGCCTTTTCCCCAGTTTGAAAAGTTTTATTACTCTTACTGATTTTATGGGGAATGTTCCTTTGGTTATTAAATACAACAAAATCACAAAACCACAAGGAACTAAGATGAAATACTTAAGGTTTCCTATTTAACACTACACCTTAAATTTCCAAACCTACACTAAAAGCTACAAAATAGGAATTCCTAACAAAATGTCTCAGCTCTCCTAAACACAGCAACTAAGTTACATGAGGAAAGTCTTATATAAACAGCAAGAACTTTTAAAATAGTCAAAACACAACAGCAAAACCCGATCCCAAAACATTACCTACAAAAAAATCTATTCTAAGTTAAAATTATACTGAGAAGCTTAATATAACTGTCTCAATAAATTCTTTAAGAGGCCTGGGAAGCACTTGTGAACAAGTGTACTCAAGATCTACCAACGCGTAACACAGCCATGTATTGATGTTTATTTCATACACAGCCTGCAGGCTTTTCATCAATTCTCTTCAGCCTTCAGAACTAGTAACCACATATCACATATGCCTAAGTGCTTTTTTTTTCCATTAACAAAGTATCAAGAAGTCATTTGAATCCATTCCTCCACCTCCAAGAAAGATTACACGTAAACCACCTTCAGAAGGTAGCAGTCTAAAAAGCTGTCTGCCTGTGCATGTATTTATATTAAGGAAGTCAAGAATCAATATGCAAATAAGACAAAACCCCTTTGAACACTCAAATCTTGCACAAATCAACAGGGACATATAAAAACAGTGCACAAGCTCTACCTAACTTCATGTATATAGTCTTTAAAATTTGCTACTGGCTCTAAACAAAGATTCCATGAAAGTCACAGGACTTCAGGAATAACTATCTGGGTACAAAGCAAAATGCAATATATAGGGAAATTTCTAAATGGGCTGTAACTCATAAAATCATTATGTACACATGTAACAGTTCATAAATTTCACAGTAATGATGACATGACTAAAATGACCAAACTTTGGGAGAGGGAATGGACTATAGAGACAGGGATACCCTCAGAGACAAAAGGGAAAGATAAGACATAATACAAAACTGTTACCACAGTTGTTTAGTTTCTCAGTTTTAAAAATCCGTAAGATTCGAAATGGAAACACTGTTAAGATTATTTAGGTTGCTAAATTACAATTCCTGCATCCTGATTAGAAATCCCTTTATATGGGCTTCAAAACTGAAGAGAATATTGAAAGCAGTCCATTTCCCCAAAGTCTGACAAAAACCAGCTTAGAGCACACCAGCAAAAGGCTCCTCATGATGATTACGCTAACTTAAGCTAATGTTCTCTGCCACCATACAGCGTGTCATGGATTGCATTGTGTCTCCGCAAAAGATATGCTGAAATCCAAACCCCTGCACCTGTCAATGTGACCTTGTTTGGAAATAGGACTTTTCTTTTGTTATCAGTTAAGTTAAATGAGGTCAAACTGAAACAGGGTATATCCTAATCCTAATCCCTTCAGAGCAGTGTTTTATAAAGGGGACAACAGACAGAAGTCACACAGGGGGAAGACACCACGTGATGAGAGATGCATCTATAAGCAGCACAGGAATGCCAAGGACTGCAGCAGCCATCAGAAGCTAGGAGAGAGGCATGAAACAGATCCTCTTTCAAAGCCTCCAGGAGGAATCAACATGGCAGATACCCTGATTTGAACTTGTAGTCTCCAAGACTGTGAGAAAATAAACTTGCTTTTTAAAGCCACCCATCCTGTGGTATTTTGTTATGGCAGCTCTAGGAAACTAAGGCAGACCACCTTGTTTTGCTTATCTTTGTATCCCCTGAGCCTAGCATAGGGTAGTCACTCATACTCACTGAATGAATATAAATCTGCGTAATGTCCATCAGCCCAAAACGTATGAGTGAAAACCTACGAACCTCTCAAGATAAGACCGTCTACGTGAGTTTTTAAAAATCCCTTTTGAGAGGCGGTTTTGCTTCAGTTTTAGTCGTACGCTACACGCTAATTCACTTACAGCATAACATTTTACTTAAGTTTTACTTCTTAGAATGGAATTCCATTATGTTTAAAGAACATTTAACCAAACCCACACTTATCTAATTTACTTTAGTGGTTAATATTGGCTCTGAAATGTAAATTCGTACTATGTTCAGTCTGATTAGTTGGTTAAATAATCATGAGAATGGATAGTCATTAATTATGGGAGTCATTCCACGGAGAAATCAATCCCATAATTACTTTTTTCCTTCATAACTTGAGAATGCAATCTTAGACTCCGGCCAGCTAGAGAGCCACCGTATAGTATGAGCCGCTATTCGTGTGGGTCCAGCAGGGCCTATGGAGGATCTGGCGTGCTAAACCCACCACCAACCCTCTACTAATGCTATGTCTGTCATCTCCAAATGGGAAGAACAATTTTTTCAACAGCCAATAGTGAAAATCAGGGGCTGCTTTCCTAGGAGAGGCAGCCTAAATGCAATTTACCTAGATACAGATTTTTATTTTTTTGTATTATAATTTACTACTGTATTATATGGGACTCTTAGCCAACATGTCAGAAAGACACATGCTATACAATAACTAATAAGCATTACTCAAAATTCATAAATGACTAAAGAAAAAAATCAGTATCCATTAAGACTATATTTTTCTATGTCAAACTTCAAACCAGACAAAAGGGGTTGCAGGAATAAGCAGGCAAGTGATAACCTCAGAATATTACATAATCAGACCACAAAAATAAAATATTACAGAATTAGACCACAAAATTATTTCTCTGCTTACAAGTGGAATTAAACCAAGTACTAAAGTTATCTGCTTTCCAATATCTCACCAATTACTTCCACCTGCTCAAGCTTCCAGTTCATATTTCTTAATGGGCAATCTAGAGCATGTCAAAATATCTTCCTCCTGCTCTTGCTACTGTCCTGTTTATTTTGAAGAGGTTACAAATAATTCTAGAATGCATCATTTCCAAATTTCGATTAGAGGGCCTGTACTCTGCTTCCCGTCAACATGCATACCAATAAACCTATTGATCTTCAACATACCTTCAGTAACTAAAAATGTCCTTCATCATCAGTGTGGGCACTTTATAATCACTACGTATGAGGAAAACAAGAATACGCCATCTCTTGGTATCATATATGAAAAATGTAATGTATGGCTGGATTATCTCTGACTTTAAAACAATAAATGATACAATCACAATTTTAGAATCTGATGTTATTTCTAAATATAATTCACTAGTGAAACACCATGTCCTAAAGGGCATTTATAGCAATACAGCATATACCATTTACTAAATTAACAATATTCAATTTCTAATTGATGTATAGTTATTGCTAAGACTACCCTGCATTTTCTATCAGGTATATGTTTATAATTGTGTCCATCACAATTTTTAGATTGCATTGGAACAGCTATTCATAGAAATTTCTTCCAGGAAGACTTATAAAAATGCACACAAATGTTCTGCATTTTAACAGTAAGAAGCTATAACTTGAATGCGTTCAGACCTGTAGCAGGCTGTTGCTGCTGTGTAAGTGTTGCAGCCATGGCAACGGCTGCTGCATTTGGCATGCTGCTGAAAGGGGTGGGTCCTGTAGTAACTCTGGGTGTGTTCTGCCACTTCTTGGCTTCTGTTCGCCTGGCTTCAAACACATCTACAGCATCACCCAAGAACATTTTCCTGTAGCCAAGGTACTGTTCTTTGAGCACCTAAAGGAATGCAGAAAAAAGGCTTACCAAGTTCTGTGTTGACTTTGGTAATATGTGAATACATACAACCATGAAATAAGTTACCAAAGACAGACAGATCATAGAATAGACACTGCCAACATTATACATTCCATCTAAACTGTATATTAGCATGCTAGTAATGCGTGCTGGCGTGGGAAGTGGAGTTTGAGAGATGTCACTCTTCTGAATATTTTCTTCCCTATTTTTATCACGCATCTTTACAATATACTGTCACTTGAGGCCTGCCTGGGTAAAGTAGCTTAAGTTTGTTTCAAAAGACTATCTACAAACAAATATAAGGAATAAAAAACACTTCTTGTGAGATTTCTATAAGAAACGAACAAATCTAGGATTTACAGTTAATTTGCTCACTGAACACAACTGAACATAAATGTTCAGCTGATCACCGAGCATCCTTTGGTTCTTGGGAACATATGAAAATAGAGTAGGTCAGAATTTCATGTGAAGTTCCCCGTCTGGAGCAAGGGAGAATGAAGAAAACCAAAGACACAAGGGAAAGATTAGTCCAAAGGACTAATGGACCACAACTACCACAGCCTCCACC